AAGAACTGTCTGCCAGCTGGAGCACTCTCACTGACTCACTGAGATTGGGAATCTGGTCTAGGGTGGGATTTGAGGTACCACCCTCTCTGCCTTGTCTCACAAGGGCAGCCTGGCATTTCAAGTTCTGCCTGTTACACATGCTCCTGACCCCTCCTCACAGTTCAGCCCCATTTCCTTCTCAGCTCAACCAACACAACCACTTTTCCTCTTCCTTCCAGCCCCACACTTAGGCTAGCTGTGTCCCTCAAGCGTGCCCAGCCCCCAACTCCTGGGTACCTGCAGTATACACTCAGTTCTCTCGGGGGTTCCTGACACAGACCGGCTTCCCACGGGCCCATCAGCGGGTTCTGTAAACTGATCCCAGCCAGGTTCTCGGGCTTACTGAAACTCTCACTTTGAGCAGTTCGTTAGTCTTTCCACCCCACAGCAATCTGGGTAGCCTCTGTACACTCTGTGACACTCCAGGCCACATCAGTCCATCAGAACTGCTTAAACACCTTCCCAGGTCCTCTTCCGACAGTTCTGATGACCAGCCTATCCTAGATCCAGACCCACATCCTTCCACTAGAACTGCAGATCTTTCCTGGACCCCTGAATGTTGGGCAGATTGGGGGGACAACACCCTACTTGCTCAAGGGCCAGAGATTTCTTCCCACAGGACCAGCAGGAGGAGGCTTCAATCATTTCTTGAGGTTTTCTGAGAGACTGGCTGCCACAAAGACCTTCTCTGAGTCTTTACTCAGGGAAAATAAAAGTAGTACTTTAGAGTCAGGACATGACTGACTGACTGGCAGAGGCGGTGCCTGCACGGGGGGTCTCCTTCTCGGCTGACCACGCCTCCTCTCGCCCCTCCCCGACCTTCCACTATGCCCAGTGCTCCCATCCCGGCTCTCCCAGCACCCTTTGCTCACCACACAGCCCTCCTGAGCAGTCCCACCATCCCCTACAGTAGACCCCAGGGGCCATATCCTTAAGGAGGAGCCACCCAGGAGGCAGGAGAAGCCCCTGTGAAGAGTGCCAGCTTCCCTCCCCCCCCATTCCAGGAGCACCACGGGGTATGCTAACAAAACTGGGTTGCAAGGCCCTCCCAAGACTAAGAAGCTCCCCTGCAACTCCCAGCCAAAATCCACAATGGAAGCTGAAGGACAGAAACACTGCTGATGGGAGACAATGTCCTTCTTCACTGGACACATCTGTCAGTTTGTATTGGTTTAATATAGACAGGCAGGAAGTATAGGTAGGGCTCTGAGACTAGGTGACTTCTGGGAAGAGGAAAGGCAGAGACGCAGTCACCAGCCAGACACAGAGGAAGCAAGATGAGAATGCCTTACTGAGAAAAGGTACCAAGCCACGGGGGTAAACATGGTTGTAAGAGCTTGTTAGTAATAAGCCTGAGCAATAGGCCAAACAGTTTATAATTAATATAAGCCTCTGTGTGTTTATTTGGGACTGAACAGCTGCAGGACAGAAACCTCCATTTACACACTATTTCTTCTTTTTTTATATTTATTTACTATGTATATAGTGTTCTGCCTGCAGGTATTCCCACAGGCCAGAAGAGGGCACCAGATCTCAGTACAGATGGTTGTGAACCATCATCATGTGGTTTCTGGGAATTGAACTCAGGACCTCTGGAAGAGCAGCCAGTGCTTTTAACAATCTCTCTAGGCCCACAATGTTTCTTCTTAGCCAGCCACCATCACCAGGTAGACAGCAGAGCCCCATCCCCAGTCAGGACTTAGTCCTGCTCCCTTACAATCACAATATCAACTCAACAAAACACCTTGCCTCTGAGATAAACCCTTAACCACTGACATGCTTTATCAGCAGCCATGTATAACCTGCTAGCAGCTGCTGCAAGACTGCTATACTCACTGGATGTGCTCACATAGCTGAGGTCAGGACAACTGAGCAGCAAACTCTCTGCCCTCGTGTTGGGAGGGCAGAAGCATGAACTTCCAGACTGGCACTCCACCTGATGAGAAGAAGCACTGTGGGTGCTAGGTGCAAAGGTGCCCAAGATAAGTTACATGAGAAAATGAGCTGAAGGCAGCAAGAAGGCCACACACCAAGCAGCAATGCCTGATCATTGAAAACCTTCCCACAGAACCAAATCTTAATTCTGGTCATCACCAAGCACACACATTAATGATCACTATCCAGCTATTTACTAGAAAGTCCGAACACTTTTTAAGTTGAACTTAACTCCCCAAATCCAATGATAGGAAATTTAAAATACACAAAATCAAGCAAAACTAGAGGCAGGCTAATCTCTGTGAGTTTGAGACCAGCCTGGTCTACAGAGTGAGTGCCAGGATAGGCACCAAAGCTACACAGAGAAACCCTGTCTCAAAAAAAAAAATCAAGCAAAACTATAACAGGTGCTTTTATCCAACGCAGCTCCATTGCCTCGCCTCACCTGTGACCCCACAAGGTGAGCCAGATCAGACTTTAAGGTTTCTGGGATGTGAAAAGAGGCAAAAGAGCCCAACTCTCTCTTAGCCACACCTTGGACAATCAACCCACTGAGCTTCCATTGTCTTAGGTGCGCCACACCTACCCTGCCTACCCTGCCTACCCTGTAGGTGGACTGTCACTGAGATATTCTGAGCACTGTAAAATGTTCTGATATTACAGGATGGAAGGGACCTCTGAGCTAACAATCTTCTTGTTATATGGATTTAAATCAGTCCATTTTCTTCATCAGTTCCTTCCTCACACATTTAACTAACCACCAGATACCATTGGTGAGCCAAACAGCTACAGTTCTTGGCACTGCAGATCTTGCACCAGGGACCCAGATACCTACAACAGACACTTATCTAGAGAGCTCGTCGGCAGGCCTGGCTAGTGACTTGGTCTCCTTTCTTTAAGGAATTAAACACACAGAAGGGTTTAGGCAATGGGAACGGCATACTCAGATCCTTCTGGCTCTACAGAGCAAATTCCAGGACAGCCAGGACTACACAGAGGGACCCCGTCTGGAAAAAGAAAAGGAAAAATGAGGCCCTACGGCTGAGCCCGCCACTCTGCTCTATAACCAGCGACTGGAGTGTCTCTCAACACAGCCTGCGAACATCTCAAAAGTCCTGTCTGTATGTCTACTGTCTTAGTTAGGGCTTCTATTGCTGTGAAGAGACACATGACTACAGCAACTCTGAAGGAAAACATTTAATTGGGGTGGCTCACAGTTTTAGAGATTTAGTTCATTATCATCATAGCAGGGAGCAATGACAGCGTGCAGGCAGATGCGGTGCTGGCTACTTCTTGATCAGATGACAACAGGAAGTGTACTGAATGTTATTCTGAGTGAAGCTTGAACAAAAGACACCTCAGAGCCTGCCCCCACAGTGACACACTTCCTCCAACAAGGCCACACCTACTTCTGCAAAGTCACACCTCCTAAAAGTGCCAATCCCTTTGGGGGCCATTTTCTTTTCAACCACCACACCCACACTATGTCTCCACACTTGCCCTTAACTGCCCAGTGAGCATCTACTGGCAAGGAACAGAGTCCGCTTCAGGCTATGAGTCACAGCAGCTCACCTGCTCCAGGCATCTACATGGCCTGCATCTACACTTGCATGCTCTGCAAGCAGATTGTCCTCTCCTCTGCACAAACCCCCAAGACAGATCTGCCTGTCATCATCCACCTTACAGACAAGGAAACCAAGATGCAAGACCAGTAAGTAAGCTGTCCCCTATTACACAGGCAGTAAGTGCCAGGGCTAGACTTCAAATCACAGACTCAATGGAAAATCAGTTCTTAATTGCCAGTGAACAAATCACCTTTCCTCTCTTTCAGCTCCCTGTCCCACACCCAGACACATGGACTGCCCTTTAACCTACTGTTCACTGGGACCAAAGCCATTTCATTCCTAGAGAAGAAAAAAGGGGCATCTCTTTTTCTAAATACTGCCTGCTAGCCAGGGCTGAGTAACATCATGGGGTGGGGGATAAAAACCAGTGCTTACAGTATTAGAGTACCAGCTGGAACATTCCCCACTGTTGGAACCATTTCCAAATGAGAAAGTGATACCAAGATGGAGGCGGGGAGGAGGGGTCTGCATAGACTGCTAAAGAGAAAAAACATAGAACAAAAAAAAAAGAAAAGAAAAGAAAAGAAAAACTGGTCATAGCATCTGCCTCCAGGGAGAGGACTAGGAACTGGCAGCTTGAAGCAAGACAGACACCTCACAGCTGAGCTCCTACTTACTTAAAATTATCCCTGTAAATTTTGTTTAAACTTAAGAGCTAAAAATTTTACAACACTATTTAAAAGAAATGACTATGAACAAGAAAGACTACTGAACAAACACTGCATGAGCTCAGTGTGCAGTAAGGCAGAACTGTAGGATAGCTTTGTTTTCTTTCTTTTTTTACTAGTTCTTGGAGAATTTTGTATAATGTGTTTTGATCATAGCCCCCCAACTCCTCCCAGACCCACCCTTCCCTACCTATCCAACTCTGTGCCCTCTTCGTTTTTGTTTTTTTTTGCTTTAAACCCATCAAGTCAAATTTGTTCTGCCCATATATTCTTGAATGTGTGGCTTTCTACTGGAGCATAGAAAACGAATGCACTTAAAGAAAACTGACTCTCACCCTCCCAGCAGCTGTCAGTTGCCAATAGCTTCTTAGCCACGGGTGGCCCCTCATGCCCACTTGCCCTTTCCATGCTGGGATTTGGTCTAGCTTGGGCTTGCACAGGTCTCCAGCCCTGCCCTCATAGTCATCCACCACCTATGGGTCTTTCCATCCCCCCTTCTTCTTTAATACCCTTGAGCCTTAGGAGGATGTGATACAGATGTCCCCTCTAGTGCTGGGTACTCCACCATCTCTTATTTTCTGCACCTTGACCAGTTGTGAGTCTCCGTGTTAACTGCCATCTATCGCAACAAGCTTCCCTGAAGAGGGCCGAGGGATGTTCTACTCTGCAGGTATAACAATAAGTATTAGGAGTTGGTTTAATACTGTCTATAATAATTTTAGTAGGTTCTTACCTGGGGCATATGGCCTGTCTAGCCACAGGTTCTTGGCCCCATAACAGTCCCAGGTATTGGTTTCATCTTGTGAGGTACGCCTAAATCCAATCAGAAAATGATTGGTTACTACCATGGCATTCATGCCACTAGTACACCAGTGGCCACGTCTTGCCAGGCCAACCACTATGATTCCTAGGGTTCTTAGTTGGGTAAGGCTGAAGATTACTGTTCTCCCATGGTGGCTTGCATGGCTGGAAGGGTATACAGCACTATGGAAGCTAACCAGTAGGAATGAAGCTTCTGGGTGAGTATCAGATTTGGCTCTCAATGTTCTATGATTCAAGTATATGGCATCTTCAGCAACAGGGTCTTTTTTTGAGGGGGGTTCAAGACAGGGTTTCTCTGTGACTTTGGAGGCTGTCCTGAAACTAGTTCTTGTAGAGCAGGCTGGCCTCGAACTTTTGGAGATTCCCCTGCCTCTGCCTCCAAGTGTTGGGATTAAAGACATGCGCCACCACCGTCCGGCTTAGCAACAGGGTCTTAGCATCAAGTTCTGAAGAGTAACCAATAGTATTGGCAATAGCCTATGGCCAACAACTCCAGAAGAGGCTAACTAATGGCTGAGACTGAACTTTGCTAGTCTGCAGTGCCCACTAGCAGTGGGGCATTGGCACTCTGTTATAGGGTAACCCTATTTTAACTTTTTATACGAAAGTGTCTACAGTAGGTTTCCATAAGACTTTACCCCTCCCTGTATCCCCTCATCCTTCCTCCCATCCTCACCCCAATTTAACTCTTCCTGTTTCATAGCTTTTTGTCTTTCACATTGAAGCTCATAAATTCCACTATAACACTGCAGTTTTATTTTGCTTGAGACCAGATTTCACTATGTAGTCCTGAGGGGGCTAGAACTCACTATGTAAACCAGACTGGCCTTGAAAGCACAGAGACTTGTCTGCCTCTGCCTCATGAACGCTGCGATTAAAGATGTGCACCGCTACACCTGTCTGTGGCACTCTTCTTTAACAGACAAAACACGCTGAAGGCACAACAGACCTACAAGCAGTGGCAACAGTCAGCCAGACCACCTTCCTAGAGAACATCCTTCCTCTGCTCCTTCAGTGAAGATTTCCTAACTCCCTACCAGCTGCCAGACAGGAGCTAAATGCTCTGTTTTATTTTCTGGAACAGGCTGCTGTGAGCTGCTTGATGTGGGTGCTAGGAACTGAACTCAGGTCCTCTGGAAGATTACCAAGTGTCCTAAATGCTGAGGCCACCTCTTCAGTCCCTAGACAGATATTTTTGAAAGAACTAAACCATGGGTCACAGGCTTCTGCTTTCCTGCTTTTCAGAAGCCATAGTTAACATTCCCAAGAATCCCACAGTCCAGCATTCTCCCACTCAGCTAGGAGACGTAGATCTGGAAAGGGAAGGAGACTCGTTCAAGATTACATAAGAAGCAGAGGCCTCAGAATCCCTGGTCCTCAACTCCTGCATGCCACATGCTGTTCTGAGCAATCGGTGTTGGGAGCCAGGCAGGCAGGAGACAGGGCAGGGAGAGAAAGGTCCCAAGACTGCTGTGCCAAGTAATTGAAGCACCTTCAATAGACTATTGGTTCTTCACAACAAATTTACAAGATATTCAGGCTTGTTCTTCATCTGTTAAAGAAAGCAAATCAAAGCTCTGAGAAGGTAAAAGGCTGTTGCTAGCTCACACAGCAGAAAGAATAGTGGGAGGCTTCAAGCCAATCTGCCTGCTTACCAAGTCAGAGCTGCTAAGGAGTAGGCTGAGGACAGACCACAATGGATTTCAGAGGTAACAGTTTTCAGATTTCTTTTTTTTTTCTTTTTTGGTTTTTCCAGACAGGGTTTCTCTGTGTAGTTTTGGAGGCTGTCCTGGAACTAGCTCTGTAGACCAGGCTGGCCTCGAACTCACAGAGATCTGCCTGCCTCTGCCTCCCGAGTGCTGGGATTAAAGGCGTGCTCCACCAATGCCCGGCGAGGTAACCGTTTTCTATTATGCAGTTTTTTCTCAGCTCTAAATGCTATCACCCCAATAACAAAATGAAAAGCCAATCATGGGGCCTGTGACGTGCGGCAGAGGTTAAGGTGCCTCGACACCCAAGTGTGATACCTGGAACCCACCTGGTAGAAGCAGAGGACAGACCCCCACAAGTTATCCCCTAACCGCCACATGCACGGTTACATACACAAACACAAAACAAAAGGAGTAAAGATATGTTCAAGGAGAAAAAAGAATCATCTCATTTTCTGGTATGTGCTCTCAAAGTCAGTCACCAGGCTTAGGATTTCATTTCAACACACAGGACATGAGCAGTCCTAAGTGACACTTTCACAGCTTCTGCCAAGACAGGGTGGAACAACTCAGACATACTGCTTCTAGTCCTAGTACCTGCCAACAAGAGTTCCCCCAACAAGAGCCTATCCCTGATGATGACAATGGATCACCATACCAGCTGTAGGCCAGCACCGTGGTGTTTGGTTTCCAAAAGTCCCAACCTTCTAAAATGAGGACAAATGTAAGCCAGCAAGAAGTCCACACAGGGAGAAAGCATTGCAAGTCAGACTGGCCAACTGCTTTGAGGGACACCGAAAGGTCACATGCAGATAAAGGATTCTTCTAGGGCACAGAGGCCCTGTCATCTCTCTCTCCTCTCTGTCTCTGTAAACACCTAATGAAGGTCTGAAGTGCTCCTCATCCTGAAGTCTTCCTTCTGGAATATGGCAGAATCAAGTTGCATGGGAGTGGGTAATCCCATAGGGCTCCATTATAAACCTAACCCATTAGCTTAGAGTCCTCACGGGGGCGGGGTCTAAAGGTCTGCCAACATTTTCTATTGACCATGGCTCCCCAGCCTGCAGTAGCCTGTTCCAAGGCCTCACAGGAAATACCATGATCTAAAACGCCACTAGTTTGGGGGGGCCGGGAGGGGGTCTCCTCACCACAAATCTTATTCCAAACTCTCAAGAAAGAGGCCTCTTGCCACCTCTTGACCAGCAATCCCCCTCTGGCTCCTGGAAAGTCACAATTAGGCACCGGGATGCTCATGTCGCAAACAACAAAACACTCAAAACGGCAAAATAACCCCCATGTGTCACACAACCAAAAAGTTGAATTCTTCCCCAGGTCCCTCCTCTTCACCCTCACCACGCTACGGTTTCGATCTTTTTGAGACCAGCACTGAGAAAATATGTATGAGCATCTGCTGCCAGGAGTCAACAATCCAGAACCCTTTCGAGCATCGCACCAACGACTACTCTTGAGGAGCACATTTTCCAACAGCCGATCAGCCAATGAAAGTTAACCACCCCGCAATCCACCCATGCCCCTTCAACAGCAACAGGGGAGTTAAAAAAACAGTGCGCCCCACTTTGGGGTTGGAGTGGCACAGGGAAGCGGCCGGCCTATTAACCAGGGCAGCTGCAATCCTAGTGCGACTCAGCAAAGACACAGGCAGGCCTGACCCCGCCCCTCCATGAGGCCACCGCGAACGCCTCCAGAGCCCTCAGAGCAGCCAAAGCCCGGGACGCCAGAATAGGCAGCTTTCCCTTCTTCCCAGTGGGGCCCACTCACCCTCCCGCGGCTCCTCACCTGCAGCCCCGCTTCCGGACCAGCAGAGGATCCTCAGCCCCGCCCACTGCACCTGTGCTTTTCCCCAGGCTCCCCTCACAGCCCCGTCCCACTGCTGCTCCAGGCCGCCACACCTGAGCCCTTTCCCCGCCGCTACCCCGCACACGGGTTCTAGCTCCCTCCCCTGGGCCCTGAGGCCGCCCGAGCCCCACGCACAGAGCCAAGGCCCCCGACCCCGGCCCCCTCCGGCCGCGGGCCCCGCCTCCCGCACCTGCGCCCTTTTCCCCATCGCCACCCCCCACACGCTGTCATTCGCGGCCCTGGGACCCGAGCCGGCCATGGTCCCGCCCCTCGAGCCGAGGCCCCGCCCCGGCCCCTCAGGCCTGGGGTCCCGCCCCCCCGCACCTGCAGCTGCCCGAGCCCTGGGCCCCGCCCCACCCCGCCCCGCCAGCCGCTCCTCTCACCGCCTCTCTCTCCGCCGCAGTCCCGGCTGGTCACCTTGACGAGGGCCACAGTGGCTGCCGCCGCTTCCTCATGGTCCTGCGAGAGGCCCAGCAGCAGCGGCGCCTTCGTTCAGAGGCCGGGGCCGCGCCAAGCCGGGTTTAGGCTAGGCCGGGCGCAAACTTGAAACGCGGGGCCGACGCGGGACCCAGCCGGTGCCCAGCCCCAGTAGGAACCGTCTGCTCCGGTAGGAATGGCGGGTGTCTCAGCCAATCAGTGCAGCACCATGCCGGGCTCCTCCAACCAGCTTGTCTCAGAGGCGGAGACACGCAAATGAACCGACTGCTAAAGCCATTGCGCAGCCGCTGCAGCTGCGGTCCCCCACCGGCCTTGACCTGGGCTTCAGCCTGCAAAGCTCAGGTTTGTAGGGATGCTCAGCTGCCCTCTTAGGGCTTAACAGCCCGCCACGCCCACCCCCTGCCTAGAAATAGTGGGCGCTTATTCTGCACATATCCTTCCAGGCCTCACACATTGTCCCACTTAAATTCCTACCTAAGAGTTTCTCGTTTTCAACAAAAAATGGCTTTGTGAGCAAGACATCATCACCTTAGCGCCCATTCTTTACAACTCATAGATAATCACAGCCCAGTCTACACTTAGAGGTTCTTGGGATTGATCCACGTATTTCACAGCTGGTAAATGTTAGACCTGAGGAGGATCTTGCCCAAGACCAGGCCAAGCTGGGGGGTGAGCCTGGAAACTGTCCCCTTGCCCATGCCACCACGCCTTCCCCCATGACGGACTGAACCTTTAAACTGTGGACCAAAATAAGCCCTTCCTTTCCTAAACTGTTCTACCAGGTGTTTGTCGCAGCAAACTCAGTAGCCAATACAGCATCCTTCATTTTGATAATGGAACTGGGGGTGTCTCTGGGCTGTGGGGTGCTACAGGAGCCCCTCCACAAAGCATCTCCCTCAGTGCTGCCCCCAGTGCCAACTCCTGCTTTCTTTGATAGTAACTAGAGTTAAATTTCACACTAACAGGTGATGATATTACACTTAGCCAAAGAGGTGGAGGAGGTATATGCCAAGAATAATGGAAGTAGCCAGTCTGTGCTGGCAGGTGCCAGAGGGTTACCCCGAGAACTACATTTTCAGGATGCTTCTTCAAAAATGCACGTAGGACTGGGTGAGTGGATTGGAGGATATTTCTCAGGGCAAGGAATTTTACACTCTAATAAGGATCCCAGGAACTCTGGTGGTTCTCAGAGGAATGGGGAACATGACAGTCAACTCTCAATGAAGATGCCACGTCTACCATCTTTCCTACGCCCTGGCAGAGGGTAGACATAGGCATGCTGCAATGAAATTACAGGCAGTCCTACCATAGATTCCAACTCTGCATCTGTCAACTAGCCTACTCAAGTTATCTCTTAACCCAAACATGGACACTTGGAGACATGTGCAGAATAACGAAGTGTAAATTCCCAGCTGAGTTCAAAATGATGGTATGCAAGGCTGGAGAGACAGCTTGGCGGGTAAGAGCACTGGGCTCCCAGCCCCTACAAAGTGGCTCATGACCATGACCATTTGTAACTCCAGTTCCAGGGATTTGGCCCTCTCTTCTGGACTCCTGAACACCAAGCACACACATGATGCACATGTATACATGCAGACAAGACATACATACCATTTAAAACCTTTTCAATGGTGGTCTGCCTTCATGTCTCAGTTCTCAGCAATAAGTGCCTTCATTTGTTGCTATCTTTTGACTCTTTGTGCTTTTCTGGTGACTTCATTGTGTCAAGTGGTCCCTAAGCATAATGCTTAAATGCCATTTAGAGGGGTTTTGTTTTGTTTTTTTTTTTTCGAGACAGGGTTTCTCTGTATTGTTTTGGAGGTTGTCCTGGGACTCGCTTTGTAGACCAAGCTGGCCTCGAACTCACAGAGATCCGCCTGCCTCTGCCTCCCGAGTGCTGGGATTAAAGGCGTGTGCCACCAACGCCCGGCTGCCATTTAGAGTTTCTAAGCTTTGTAGTCTGTTAGTTACCTTACTGAGAAAGTAACTGTGTTATAGAAAACATACACAGTTCTGTTGGTTGAAATAGATAGATTAATAAATATGATTGATTAGATGACTCATATATTGTGAATGATAGATAGTAGATGTGATTGATAGATGATTAAGAGATGGAAATGATAGGTAGATAAATAATAGATGATAGAATGTATGGTAGATACGATTGATAGATGATAGATACAATAGACAGATAGCTAGGCATTGAAATATCAATGAAAGGGTCTTTCCCCCCCTCCAAAAAAAGAACACAAAAAATAAAATTATCCAAGACGCTGTTTGGCTGACAAGAGTGTATGACCAAAGATTTAAAAGAAATCCAATCATATTCTCTCTCTTGGAACAAGAGTTCAGTACTATTTTTTTTAGCATTCACGACAATAGGACATAACTACTATAAATAATGAGAAAGAACTACATTTCTCATAGGCAGGTTATTAACTAGTAACCTTTCCAATAAGGAATGCTGGGAAATGTAGTTCTCAGACTAACCTAAGTTTAGTTTAGTTTTGTTTTGTTTTCTGAGATGGTTTCCCTGTGTAGCTCTAGTTGTCATGGAATTTGCTCTGTAGACCAGGCCAGCCTCGAACTCACAGAGATCCACCTGCCTCTCTTTGCCTCCTGCATCACGCCTGCCCAGCTCTCCGACTGACTTTTAAATCCTGTGTTACAGAGGAGGGTAAAAAGAAGGAACATGTTCCTGATCTGTCAGATAATTCACCAAGATAGGTGGGGCCATTTGATGCTTTAGAAAAAAACTTACTGTCCTAAAGTCCAGTCCTGTAAATGTGCTGTGCATACCCATGTGTGTAGAGGCCAGAGGTCAACATCAAACGTCTTCCTCAATCACTCTCTGCCTTTCCCTTACCTTCTGGGGCAGGCTCTCTCATCCAACCAGGAACTCACCAATTTAGCTAGACTGATTGACCAACAACCCCAGAGTGACAGGGCAAGAGAGTGCAGAGGTTCCTCCATCTCATATTCTTGCTGAAGCCATTTTTGGTTTAACAA